ATGGAAGGCCACCAAGAAAGCTCTTCAGACAAGTCCTTGGTATTAATAAAAGAGACTGCAAGCTGGACCTCATGATTCTGGCAGCAGCATTGTTAATTTATGTATGGTGGAGCCAAGCCATGAACAAAAACTAGTCCCTGAGACATACTCATTCCATGCAAAACCAGACATATAAAGCCTTTACTTGTTATTATGGTTATGGCTGACAGCTGATGAAAACCCCAAATTCAAAATTTCAGACAATTAGAATATTGTAAAAAGGTTCAATATTCTAGACTCGGTGTCACAGTCCAATCAGCTGATTAATCCAAAACACCAGAGCCTTTAGGTGGTCTCTCAGTCTAAGATGAATTACTAAAATTAGTCGACATTTGTACCATATTGTAATTTGACCTGTTTCCCCTGTACATCTTATTAAGCTCCCAGATCCCAGGCCAAATCAGTAGCATGAATGCATTCAGATTTCCATTAGGGTTAGGGTTAAGGACAAAAACCTCTAAAAACAGCATCTTCATGACCTTGGGAAGGAAGTCACTGTGATGAAGGAGATGCAAGACACAAGGTTGGACCTGCTGAGGCTCCAACAGAGCATGGCTGAATCACCTTGCCTTCTTCTACGGTCTGTCTAGATTTCTCAGCGATCAAAATGTTTGAATGATACATAACTTCTATAAAAGTTCCTCACAACAAGAGCTGCAGAACTGCATATTCTTAACAAAAGAAAAATGACAGTCTGATATTTGCCAGTAAAAATGCATTGGTTTTAATGGTGAGTACATCATGTTTTCATCCCACATGCTGTCATCAGCCAACTACAGTAACAATGCATTCAAAATGCTATTGGCTTTACTGTTTGTGCAATGACTTCAGTTTGAATTAATACATTTTTAACATTGTTAACATGGTTTATAAAAACATGTTCTTACTACTCGTGATAAATATTCAGAGCGTTTCATCTTTAGTGTCATGTGCATAATTACAACAGCAGCACTTTCTCAGGCTTTGTGTTGATTTTTTTTGTCACGCCGTGACTAGATTACAGTTACTCTGCTAGATGTAAACAAGTCTGCAGATGACCAACTACAGAAAGTTCAGGTAGATTTCTCACTAATTCAAACAGGCGTTCTCACATTACACCAATTTTAGCTCACCTACATTGGCTCCCAGAGCTCTTTTGGATAAAGTTCAAAATTCTCCTGTTTGTTTTTAAATCCATCTGTAACCTGGCACCCTCATATCTCACAAGCTTATCACTCCCCACAAACCACTTCGTGAACTAAGATCAGCAGCAGCTACAAGGCATGCGGTGAACGAGCTTTTGGTTATGCCGGCCCAAACTTTTGGAAAGACTTCCCCCTAGTGGTGAGACAGCCCACCTCACTTAAGCTTTTTAAGTCCCGTTTTAAGACACATTTTTATAATCTAGCTTTTGGAGGTTGTTAGTTGCTTTTTTAGGCATCTTAGTTCGTTCTTCTTTTGGTCTCTTTGTTTGACATCGGTGATTTTGTATATTTTATTCTGCGTTTTTAAATCTTACTTCTATTTTATGAATACTGGTTTGTTTAACGTGTTTTGACTTCCTTTTACAGTTTGGCTTTTATCTCTGTTCTGTATTTTATGTGCTCTTTGTGCAGCATTTAGGTCAGCTGTTTTACAAGTGCTTTATAATTAAACATGATGATGATGATGATGATGATGATGATGATGATGATGACGATATTCATAATTCAGAGGTGCTTTCTTTATAGAGGGTTAAAGTGACACTTTTTGATGAGATTCATTGCATTATCTTGTTAAAGGTTTGAGATTTTGTTAACTTTTGTTGCTTGCAAATGTTTGAAGTGTCAGAAAAACACCTGAACTGACACAGTAAGTTCTGATTTCTGAAGTAGTAGCCGTTATAAAAATGTTTAGACCAAGTAAAATGATGAAACTTGCTCATTCTGCTTATTATAGATCTGGATTTACAAGTGTTTGTTCTGAGATTACTTTTTAATAGTAAAATATGTCAGTTTTGTTGCCTGAAAGACCAATCTGCATAAAAGAAGTGAAATGGGGAGCATGGATTCAGTGGTTGGCAGTTGCACTGGCTTACCAGCAATGCCTTTTGGAAGACGTAGAGATTTTTAATGTCATCAGCATAGACTCAGAAGTGAAAAACTTTTTCTCTGTGATGGTTGAATAGAATAGACCTGCTTAATGTTCATCTGGTGTTGCACAATTATTGAACACTTACTGAATATTGCACTGATGTTATTGTGTACCAGGATAATGCCAGTACCAGTTAAACTGAGGAGTTATACACTCTTAATGCAGAGAGGATGAATGATTTGCGGTAGCATTCTGTTTTACATCTGGGATGTCTCAGTCTTCCACTGAAGGAGCTGTCCATGACCTCCACAGTGGAATTCAGTGGATGGGAGGGGAAGTCAACCCTACCCCCATTCTCCTGTGAGAAGTATCTTCAGTCAGATTTTAGGGAGCGTAGCTAATTATTCTGTGACCAGAATCATATGTTTGGGCAGATAAAAAGGTAGATCTGATGATGAGTTTGGTGCTGTGAGATGGATTTAATGACTTGGTGTGGGCATAGAAGCTATTCAGATCATCAGTCTAGTGATGGATCATGAGAGCAACCAGCATCCTTCCTTTTATACTGTGTGGTGGTTTCCTAACCCCGGTTTCACACTGGAGGCATCAGCGGTGCAAAGCAGCAGCAGAGCGGTTTAATCATAAACTTCAAAGCGGTCCTTTTCACACCGGGAGTGTCTTGGCCGCGGCACGACTTCCTCGCTGAGCTCTTTGCCGGACAAGGAAGATTACCAAATCCCTCAAGACTTCCGCCATCCTCCTCGCTTGACTCGCGATATTACAAGATCCCTCGAGACTTCAAAGGTCACTGTTTGTTTGTGCAATCCGCCATTAAACCAAAAAGAAGGAAATCACATTTGATATCTCCAGCCTATGTCACATGCAACGGTGTTCCTCTCCACTGCCAGGATTAAAGTCGTGAAAAACACACTGCTGCACTTCCGGAACAATACTGGGAGTAAATAAGCTACATATACAGTAAATGAAATAGCATCGCTGCAGTATTTTTATTTCGAAAACGTGTGTGATTTCTTGTCTTTCCCTATGTCAACTGCGGAAACTGATGCGTCCCAGAAGCAGCTTGCGGCAAAAAAAAAACCCGATCCCATCATTAGCGGCTCGGCGTGTGCTTCTGGAATGTGCCTGAAAATTGAAGTTTGAATTTGGGTAGAGGTTTGGGGTGATGTTTTGTTGTTTCAGTCAGATTTCCAGCAGTGAACTAGCCTGTGGCTAACTCCTGTACGATGCATCTACACGGCAAGATTTACCATTAAAATTGTATGTCTAATAATAATAAAGAAGATTCATGAGAGAGGATGGATCTGCCTCATATGCCTCTTGTTTATTGGTATCAACAAGGTCCAGGCTGCTGTTTTCCTATGCTGTCATGGTAACGCTGTGGTGAAAATGCATAGTTACCTTTATTTAGTTAATATGAATTAATAGAATTTTTTTTCAGCTCATGCAACAGAATGATCAGTGTGTCTGTCTGTGTGTCTGCAGTGGGGTGCACAGGTTTGTTACCAGGCCTGGTTTGTGTGAGGAGTGGGAAAATGTTGGGGTTGCACCACCACCACCACACTGGCTCCATGAAGGGCATGAGCACGTGGGCTGCCCCAGGGTTACGTGACACAGAGACCAGCAAGTATGAGGAAGTCTAACGTGACCCTCCATGCCCCGATCCTGAGTTTGCTTTGAAAGATAAATATGGCGAAAAGCTCAGCTGCTTGTCTGCAGAAAAAAGGAGACATGAACAGATGCTGTAAAGATGTGTGTGTGTGTGTGTGTGTGTGTGTGTGTGTGTGTGTGTGTGTGTGTGTGTGTGTGTGTGTGTGTGTGTGTGTGTGTGTGTGTGTGTGTGTGTGTGTGTGTGTGTGTGTCTCACTCTGAGCATGTTAACACAAAAGATTATAACAACTGAGACTTTTGAAATGGAGATTATGAAATTGTGTTTACTCTCAACCCACTCAAAGCTGTTGTTGTTTTTTTATCAAAGTTTTGTTGTGATCTCACACATGTATCAATATTTCTTTTTGTGTTCTTATAAACATGGCCTCCCAGACTTTTGAAGCACATGCTTGCGTGAGGTCTACCAGTTTCATCAAAGATGGAGAATAGTCTTTAAAGATTTTGGCATTTCTGCTCCTGCTCTCCAGTTTTATGACTAAACAAGCTTCTTTCTCTGAAAATTGAGTGTTGTGTCAATTATTTTGTCCTCCAGTTCTTCCTGTAACAGAAAAAAAAAACCTAACAAAGACTGTATAGCTGAATGCTTGGTTTCATTCATAGGACAAATGTTTGTTTATTTATTTGTTTGTTTGTTTGTTTGTTTATTTGTTTATTTATTTGTTTACTCGTTTATTTATTTATTTATTTATTTATTTATTGATGTTATTGTTGTGCATTCAAGACTGCATACCAACAAAGAGCCTTGTGTTCTGGAAGATTTATCTTAGTAACATATCGTCTTTAAAGCAAAGCATCAGCATTTTGACAGATTATTTGCCGATGAGAATGTTGAGTCACATCAAAAAAAGCTGAGACTCTATCAAGTGTTTCTTAACATTTCACAGTAAAGCACTGCAAAGATTAGGTTTTATTACAAAACCGATGCGGTTGTATTCAAAACTGCAGCCACTAAAACGAGATAAAAGACGTTCTGTTATGACACCAGTGCTGTTAATGCTCTGTGCTAAAACACATTTAATGGGTGAACCAGGAGTTTTGATGAAATACGTGGCCCGAATTTATTTTTACACATGAAAATTAGAATTGTTTTTTCACATAGTATTAAAAAATGATCCAGTCTTAATTAACGTGTTTTTTCATTCCTCCTAAAGGTCTCTCCTTTTTCTCATCCTTCCTTCTCTTTTGTTACTACCTCTGCTCTGTTTTGTGGTTGTGTGCAGGCTATGGCTTTGTGGACTTTGACAGCCCTGCAGCAGCCCAGAAGGCCGTGGCCTCGCTCAAAGCTACTGGAGTCCAGGCACAGATGGCAAAAGTAAGCTTCATCTCACTTTGGGTGCTCTGGTCTGAGGCATTGGTAGTTTTGCTAATGTGATGGGTTTAGCTGTTGACAATAAGCATAGTGAGTACAACAAATGATCCTGTTACCACTGACTGTAATTGTTGATGTTTCATTGACCACCGTTGGACTGGAAAGGGCACCTTTGAGTCATGTTTTAGATTACATGTACCCGTGATAATACTATGAACCAATGACTTTCATCAGATAGACTTTATTCAGGTCAAACTTCCATAATAAAAGAACCGGCCAAGGATGTACCCCTCCTCTCACCCAACAACCCTATAGGCACCAGCTTCATATGGCAGTGACTAAAAAGTGAGTAAGGAAGATGGATGGATGGATGGATGGATGGAAAATGAAGATAATTCATCTTCTCCATATCTCAAACAGCCACAGGAACACTGCTTTGATTTTGTCTATGAATAAAGAATTTATTTTCTGGAGTTTGTTCTGGAACGCGGCTTCACAGCTCAACTAAAATAATGAAAGAAAACTGCTGTCTTCCTGTACAAAGATTTTCATGTGGTTATCAGTCAAATATTGTGTGCTTTCAGGACTTTTGTACCATTTACCCGTCAAGGCGACAGTGGCAGAGGAGTTCAGTTACTACAACACAACCAGATGGTTGCAGGTTCAAGCCCTGATCAGTCTGTCATGGTCGATGTGCCTTTGGGTAAAACACTTCACCCTCCTTGCCTGCTGTTGGGGGTTGGAGGGACTGGTGATGCCTGTGTATGGCAGCCTAACTTCTGTCAGGGTTCCCCAGGGCAGCTGTGGCTACAGTGTAGCTCATTACCCCAGTGTGTGGACGTGTGTGTGCCTGGGTGAATGACTGATGTGTTGTAAAGCACCCTGGGGAGCTGTAGAACCCTAGAAGGAGCTATATCAAAAACAGGGCATTTTTTATGACTTGTTTTTTTTTCTGGACCAGCCTTCAGGCACCAGAATCTTCCCCTTGATTTAATCAGCACAAGGGCCTGTGGCTCCCTCCTGTTAAACCTCCTTTCATTAGGCTTGTATTTTCTTCCTAACACGTGAAGTCGTGGTGTTGATGTGTTCAGCTGGTTCTGTGGAAGGAAGAACACTTAATGCAGACAAGATTGGATCCTTTAGAGCGGTAGAACTGGGGGCAGGAAGTAATTTCTGTATTGAAATTACACGTACTTTTCACATGTCATGTGGTAATTATGCAGTGAGTCACTGATATGTCACCTTACTCTAGAAAGTCAGTGTGCAGTGAGTGAAACAGTCACTGAAATTACCGGCTCAGTTTTAATGTTGTGTAGAACTCTTCATTTGGGTTTCACAGAATCTTTTTGGACTAAGATAAAAGTTGCTCTATTTTTTGGTCTGTGTCCACTGAGATTTACAGACACAAAAGGTGGGCCTCAAGATGTATCGTTAAAATCTGTAATTATTTTGTTTGTGGGGGAGGGGCATGAATGGGTGAATGTCACTTGTGTTTAAGCACAAAAGCACCCTACATCAAACTCCATGCCTTAGAGACATGCATTTAGTTTAGTTTGGGTTTTTTGAACAAGGACAGCGCAAAAGAGGATGTTACATGTAAGGGCAATGCAGCCGTTGTTTTTGTACAGAGACTTATAGCCAGAGGCTAGTTTGCAACCCTACTCCTTGGTTAGATGTTTTAATACAATCAAATAGCAGCATTTATAACATTCACCACCATACAGACACACACACACACACACACACACACACACATGCACGCACGCATGCACATGCACGCACACACACACACACACTCATACACACACACATACGTACACATACGCATGCATGCACGCACACACACACACACACAAACGCACGCATGCACGCACACACACATGCACACACACACACAAACGCACACACACTCACATGCACACACGCACGCACACACACGCATGCACGCACACACACACACACACAAACGCACACACACTCACATGCACGCACACACACACACACACACACACACACTCACACACACACACATGCACGCACACACACACACGCATGCACTCACACATACACACACATGCGTACACATAAGCATGCATGCACACACACACACACACACACACACTCACATGCACACACGCATGCACGCATACACACATGCACACACAAACACTCATACACATGTATGTACTGTAAATAAATTAGTTGAGCTGATAAGAAAACAGTGTTCACAAGTTTGTTTTTGTTTCAGCCATTTGTTCACCTGAGAGTTAAAAGTTGTAACGTGTTAACTAGGTAAATCTTGTGTAATCAGATTACCGGATGTTGCCTTCTATGACCTCACTCAAGTTACAATTTCATTACAAACAGTTCCACTGCAGGGCGTTGGACTGATAAAAAAAAACATTTTGGGATTATGATAATTTTATTCGAAGCCTTTTTAGATGAGTCTGCAAAAGAAACAGAATAGAAAGCTTAAGTTTGGTCCAACTCCATATTGTCATCTGTGACAGAAAATGGTTTAAAAGGATGCAGTCAGCTGTCAGAGGTACTTTTTTAATTTAAACTGCTCTCAGATTTACGATCTTTGGCTACGGTTTAGCATCACAACATTTACAATTGACGTACATTTCCCGAATAACCTCCATAAATATTTAGAAGACATTTCATTGAAAGAATTAATAAAGGAGTCCTCAGGATGTGTAATTCCCCTGAAATGTTTATATTTTTCAAGGTAGAAATTAATAGAAACTGCGATGCTGTTTAACTTCTAATCAGGCCTAAAGTAAAGTGTTGGGGGAAAACAACTCAGAAGCAAGAAGGAAATTAGAATTATGAGTTGTTCATTTTATTATTTGTTTTTATCACCAAAAGCAGAAAAGATCTAACGACAGAAAAGAACATCAGTCAAGAGCTCGAGGTCATGGCTCAGAAAACACTGAGCGTTCACCAGAAATAAATACGGTCTTTACAAACGTCGGGCACATTAACTGCTGCTTTTATTATTGCTGCATGAGGTCCAGAGAACCAAAGCCTGAGGTCAGACAAAATATACATAATTTTATATTTATTAAAAAAAAAAATCTAAATGATAAAAACTAAGATCTATCTCTCCTTCAGGTGTGACTGTCATGTTGGGGTTTAAGTGCTTTACCCAAGACATGCAGAATCAACACAAGAGACAATGTAAAATTAAACAAAGGTTTCATTAATCTGTTCAACTAAGGACGTCCCAAACTGGGAGATGCTGGGGCAAGGGGGAAAGCTGGGCCTGCAAGTAGAGTCGGATTATTAGTAGGAGGTCTGGTGGTTTGAAGGTGGAGGAGTGGAGGTCTTACTGTGCTGCTGGGGAGATGGTTTGTTAAGAGGTCTGTTAGATCTGAGGAGTGTCCAGTGGGGTCGAGGGAAGGGTTCCAGAGGGGGGTGGATGAGCTGTGATGAACAGGACTGAGGGAAGGAAGATGCAGGCTGAAGAGAGGTCCAGGAGCTTGACTGAAGGGGTGTAGTCGAGCTGGATCTGGGAACAACAAAGAGCAGCGTCAAGTAGAAAAATCAAAAATATAACTAGACTAGATTTTTACTAGAGACCGAGTAGCAGGAGCGTTTCCAACTGGATATGCCCGTGTGGAGTAATCAACAGGTGTTGATTAGTGGTCTTCCTCCTCCTTTTAAGCCAGCAGTGGCTGATGATGGATCTGCTGCAGCTGGTCCCATTCAGACACCGCTCACCTGGAATGAATGCTGACACAGATTAGAGGATGAGCTCACCTCAGACCATGACAGTGACGTTCTGAACCCTGACAATGATCTAAATAACAGAATGCAGTGCTGGAAGAAGAAGTACTTGCTTTTTATCACATAAGTAAAAGTACAGATAAAGGGGTAAAAATCACCAAAGTAAAAGTAAAAGTCTTCAACAAATTTTAGACTTAAGTTAAGTATTAAAGTACGCATTTTCAGCTGTGCATAAGTGTAATAAAGTAAAAGTTTTCAAATAGCATTTAAATATGTGTTGTGTGTAAAAGTGGGCTGTCAGAACTGTAGTTGGGCATAGACAAGGGTGTGTGTGTGTGTGTGTGTGTGTGTGTGTGTGTGTGTGTGTGTGTGTGTGTGTGTGTGTGTGTGTGTGTGTGTGTGTGTCAAATAGTACATTAAGAAAAGGACATACACTGTACTGCAGTAGAGTAAAGAAGTATTTATGCTTTTTACATTCATCACTGACAAAGTGTCTCTTCTGCTGTGAAAACACATGCTGAACATTTTTATTTATAATGTACCAAAAAGATCAGTTAAACACAAAAACAGTAATGTGTTAAAGGTTTGGGCACGTGTGGAGAAACAACTGATGCTTTAAGAAGAATAAATAATGATTATTGCTATTAATTTAATAACACTAATTAAATGTGGTCATTCAGAACTACCTTCAGCATAAATAAGAACCAGGAAGGCTGGAAGTGATGGTCTGGCCCCCATAGAGCCCCGATCCCAACATCATGGAGTGTGTCTGGGATCACATGAAGAGACAGAAGGATGTGTGGAAGTCTGCATCCACACAAGATCTATGGTTTATTCTCCAGGACGTTTGAAGCAACCTGCCAGCCCAGTTCCTTCAATACCTGTGTGCAAGTAGACAGAGCTGATGCAGTTTGGAAGGCGGAGGGTGGTCACACAGCCATTAATTTGGTTTTAGATTTATCTTTTGTTCATTCACTGCTTTTTGTCAATTTTTTCTGAAAGCATTCTTTGTTTTTCACACCAGTCTAAAACCTGTGCACAGTACTGTACAGAAATGTGATGCAATGCAGAATTTAATTGATCGGACCCATAACCTTTAATTCATGTGTGTCAAGCGTTTTGTTTATGATTCATGCAGGTTATTGTATTTGGACCCGGGCTAGATATCTGCTGGCATCCAGCAGGAAGAAATGTTTTTGAAGCTCTTAAAAGAAGATTCTCAACTCTTTAGGTAACTTATGAAGAGTGAACATGCAAGCAACAATTCCCATGTCGTGCAGCAGTTCAACACCACTGCACCACCATCAGCTGGGGGAGCGGTTGCACCGCCTCCTTCAGTGTGTCTGTCCTAGGAGCATAACATGATCTGCTCAGTTTAATTTCTCATTTCTGGTCCTCTGAGTCCATCGTGTAGGGAAAAAACATCACAGGAAGTATGGAAACAATTAAAGAATTAACTGTGAAAATTTTTCCAAATCAGCTTGTCCAACAGGTCTCTTAATAAAGATAAAACTTCAGATTTGTTTTAATGTTTTTGCTTCAGTTATATCCAAACACCTTTTTCAAAAAAGAGCATGGAAGTCAATGCCCTTTCGGCTCGGTACACTTTGCATCATCCTTTAGTAACACTTTACAACAAGGGTCCCTTTATTAATGTTACTTATTGCATTATTAAGCATTAGTAAACCATTAAAGAATAAACATCTGCTTAATATTAATGTTAATGCATTCCCTAGCAACCCTACCCCATCACAAAGACTGTGATAGACTGAGCAGAGCCAGAACCAGCAACCCTCTGGTTATGGGCCTTAACTCTTCTGCCACCATTTCTCCTTTGAAAGATAATTGCATTAATTAAATTAGACAATTAGAAATACGAACACAATTTAAATGAACAAAGTCCACGATTCAAATCTGAGCGAAGAGGGCAACATTTAGTTACTGGAGACATGCTGTGTAGGGTTAGACGGAGCAGGAATGTAGGACACCTGACTGAAGGAATCTTGCAGCAGAAAAGCAGCACAAAGGCAGCCTGCTGTATCAGAGATCATGTGCAGCTTGTTGTAGATAAGAGCTGTCTAAGAAGCTGAATCAATGGCTGTTTATCTCACGGTGTAAGCAGGTCGCAAATTCATCTGCCGACCTCAAAGTTTACCATGATTAGAGGAACTTCCTGACAGTGCCCATGAACTAATTACAGCTCAGGCACCACAAGATTAGTCGTGTGTGTGTGTGTGTGTGTGTGTGTGTGTGTGTGTGTGTGTGTGTGTGTGTGTGTGTGTGTGTGTGTGTGTGTGTGTGTGTGTGTGTGTGTGTGCAGCTGCTCTAGTGTAAAAAACCTCTATCCTATAGACCCAGCAGCTTGTGCTGACCTTTTCCTTGTAGCAGGTTTTTGGTCGTGGAAAATAGTGAGACAAGAGAAAAATACAACAAGACACGAGGAGAGTAGAAGAAATTGGTGTACAGTGTGTGTGTGTGTGTGTGTGTGTGTGTGTGTGTGTGTGTGTGTGTGTGTGTGTGTGTGTGTGTGTGTGTGTGTGTGTGTGTGTGTCTTATGTACTAACTTCTCAAGTCTTCATGGTAATTACTGTTGACCTGAAAGGTGATTGCTGCTACAGCTGTACTCCACCTGTCTCATTGGCTCACTCACAGTTCGTGTTTCTTTCTCCCTGCCTCCTCCTCCCCGTCTCTCTGTGGATATCTTTGTTTTCTGTGACTTTTGATGCACCAAAAAGTGCATTTGCTCTAGATCATTTATGCATCAGCTTATAGAATACATGATAAGACTAGATGTTTTTAGTAATTTACACACATCTAGAGTCTTTAAGAACTTGTCCTATTTTAAATCTGAGATTCACAAAGTGAGAAACGTCTTTTAGTGTGTGTTTAGTAAATACAGACATGTAAAACACCCAGAATTGTAAAGGGTGTGAAATTAATCTGGCAAAACTTTTTTCTGTCTTTAAAAGCACAAACTCAGCAACGTGTGTGCGCACACACGTGTGCACGTGCACGTGTGTGTGTGTTTTTGCAACAAGACCAAGGTCCCTATGCTAATTAAAGAGATGGTACCGCTAGCGTTGACACTTCACATCTCCCCCTTTTACTCTCTCCCTTCCTTCTCTCCTTTGTTTTTTCCTTGTCTCCTTCTGTCCTCCTTCACTTGTGTATCTTTTATTTTCTTGACTTTACCTCTTTTCTCTTTTGCTGCCCGTTTTCTCTATCAACCTGCAATTTTTCTCATCCACTGCTGTGCATAATTAAGCCAGGGTTGGGTAGCCCTGGTCCTGGAGAGCCATTATCCAGCATGTTTAGTTGTTTCTTCGCTCCAACACACTTGATTTGAATCAGCAGGTGATTAACAGGTTTGTGCAGGACTTGATGATCTGCTGAACAGATGATTCCACCTTTGAATCAAACGTGTTGTTAGGTGCAAGATTAGGAAGGAAAAGTTCACAGTTTGAACAGTTTGGTAAAATCAGCCAATCTCACATTAGCAACTCAATCCATTTAGATGTCTAGATTAGGTACGGGTGACTTGGTGAAGGGCAAACTGAGCATCAGAACAAGGAACAAAACAGATTTAGTTGACTTTGAATGGCTGTTGGTGATAAACTGTGTTCAGAAACTGCTGATCTACTAGGATTTGTGCCCGCAATCATCTATAGGGTTTTCCAGAGAATGGTCTGGAAAAGGAGAAAATATTCCATGAACAGTGCGCAAAAAGGCCATGTTGAGGTCAGAGGTCTGAGGAGAATGAGCAAGCTGGTTCAAGATGAAAGGCAACACTCAGATAGCCGGTTCCCACTAAGGTTTACTGAAAAGCATCTCAGAACCACAACAAGGTCAACCTGGAGACCACAGCGAGCATCACTCCTGACAGCAAAGAGCTGCTATCTGAGTCTCCAGTTCAGAATCACCAAAACTTCTGATCTGATGAGTCTCAATTTCACTTTTCACAGACATTTTTTTTTTACCATTTGAATGCAGTCAATACAGTTAATTACATCTGTGTTTCTTATTGTAATGCTAGTGACTAGTTTCTTTTGATTCCGTTGGTCTGTGTGGGTTTGTGACTGTGGCAGTTCTGGTTGAAGGTGAGGCAGGACTGGCTGAGGATGATGCCGGTGCAGATGCTCTAGGTGAGTTCTGCAGCTCTCTGAGCAAAAATTGTAGCAAATTAACCAGAGAATCCAGCTCCTCACGAACCATTCGTCACTTGTTCTTGACTGATGTTGTATGCAGACACATGGAGGATGTTGTAAAATACAACTGCTGGCCAAATTTAGACAGCAAGTTTAAAGGCAAGTCTTTGGAACCAAAGACTATGGAATTCACCATTGCCTTAAAACTCGATGAGTAAGTTCTATGTAGCAGAGGTTAAATGCTAGCTGCCGCCATCGTGTTTCTGCTGGTCCGTACTTTAAAATGTCTGGGCAGCATAAGTGGATAATAACTGGCAATTGTGTAAAGCATGGAAAGTAAGTCAACATTAGAGATTTGAGAGCTAATAATAGATTATTTCAACCAGTATTTATGAACATCTTTTATCTAAGATGTTAGGGTGGATTTATGTTTCCTTAGAATGCTTCATGTAGGAACTATACACTTCAGATGTGTTATTCCCATGACAGTAACCCTTGAGAGGAGAGAAAATAAAGAGAAATGAGGGAATTATTGCATGAACACAAGAGGAATTCAGAAGGCAGCTGGAGAGTGGGGCTGGTGCTGTTTGATTCAGCGCAGCTCTATAAGTTTGCTGGAAAACACTGCCCATGCGTGTCCTCCCATTCTGTTCCTTTGTGGAATTAGCCTTCCTTGGGGGTGGGGGGGGGGGGGGGGGGGGGGGCATGGAGGATCCATCGAGGGAGTGGGAAGTTCAAACCAGCATAAAGATGGAGAGTTGAATGACAGAATATGGGATGATGCACCTGAACATGATCAATTACAAGAAAAGCACCAGAAATAAATAATTATTGCAACAAGAAGAAACTTCTGCTTTTCTAGGCTTTCATCCTTGTGAGTGTTTTAATGTCGTAGAGAGGCTGGAATAAATGTCCCAGTTTTATGGAGACACTAACACTTCTTTTTTCTGATTGGCTGTTCAGTGCTCACATCGCTCATTGTTATTGGTGGCTCGGCATGTTTGCGGTTTATCATTGAACAGACAGCAGCATCAGCTTAATTCACATTCCAGTGGCATAATTCAGTCATCAATCAAACTTTGAGGACAGCAGAAGCAAAACAGCTCCCCCAGACAAAAAGCGAGAGAGCGTTTGGAGTAGAATATAACAAATCAAATGCTCTAACCTTTTAGTATGTCTAAGTCTGCCCATGCCTTCTGCAAACCAATGAAGATCTCCCTCCTTGTG